TTACGCGGTACCCCCCCCAACTCCTCGACAACCTGCGGCGAGAGATCCCAATCTCCAGCTATCAAGGCATGAGCTGGGCCATAAACAGCTTTCCCCAGGCGCCCAAGGATGTGGATGTTGGCCTCGCTGAGGCCCTCAGCTGAGCGAAGGTAAAACAAATTAGCCTGGCGAAGGACCCAACCATATGCAGTTGTGAATACCGCAAATATGAATATCGTTTTCGGTGGCGCTACCTCTTGGTTGGGGAGACGCATGCGAACGCACCAGCTGGGGCCTTCGGTGGAGCTCCCTATGGGGCTGCGAAACGCTGCCCTGGGTGGGGGGACCGCATGTGGACACCCCCACTGGGGCCCCTTATGGGGCTATGAAGCGCTGCCCTGGGTTGGGGGACCGCATGTGGACACCCCCGCTGGGGCCTTCGGTAGAGCTCCCTATGGGGCCGCGAAGCGCTGCCCTGGGTGGGGGAACCGCATGCGGACGCCCCCACTGGGGCCTTCGGCGGAGCTCCCTATGGGGCTGCGAAGCGCTGCCCTGGGTGGGGGAACCGCATGTGGGCCCCCCCACTGGGGCCTTCGGTGGAGCTCCCTATGGGGCCACGAAGCGCTGCCCTGGGTGGGGGGGCCGCATGTGGACACCCCCACTGGGGCCTTCGGTGGAGCTCCCTATGGGGCTACGAAGCGCTGCCCTGGGTGGGGGAAACCGCATGTGGACCACCCCACTGGGGCCTTCGGTGGAGCTCCCTATGGGGCGTCGAAACGCTGCCCTGGGTTGGGAAACCGCATGTGGACCCCCCCGCTGGGGCCTTCGGTTGAGCTTCCTATGGGGCTACGAAGCGCTGCCCTGGTGGTGGTTGGTGTGTGTGTGTGTGTGTGTGTGTGTGTGTGTGTGTGTGTGTGTGTGTGTGTGTGTGTGTGTGTGTGTGTGTGTGGGGGGGGGGGGGGGGCGCGTGCGCCCCGCTTGGGCCTTCGGTGGGCCCCCCATGGGGCTACGAAGCGCTCCCCTGTGTGTGGTGTGTGTGTGGTGTGTGTGTGTGTGTTGTGTGTTTGTGTGTTTGTGTGTTGTGTGTGTGTTTGTGTGGTGGTGGTTGTGGTGGTGGTGGGTGGGTGGGTGGTGGGTGGGTGGGTGGGTGGGTGGGTGGACGGGTGGGTGGGGGGCGCATGTGGACACCCCCACTGGGGCCTTCGTTTGAGCTCCCTATGGGGCTACGAAGAATGTGAGAGGTAGGCCGAGAGCACAGGCAAGGATGGGGGGGGGGGGGAGGGGGCGAGAAGGAAGGAAGGAGGAACGCGGGGCACCATCTCTTCAAAACGAGGACCCATCACCACAGGATGGTTGGGAACGCATTAGCCTGGCGAAGGACCCAACCATATGCTGTTGTGAATGCCGCAAATAAGAATATCGTTTTGGGTGGCGCTATCTCTGGGTAGGGGAGACGCATGCGAACGCCCCCACTGGGGCCTTCGGTGGAGCTCCAAGCGCTGCCCTGGGTTGGGGAACCGCATGCGGACACCCCCGCTGGGGCCTTCGGTGGAGTGCCCCATGGGGCCACGGAGCGCTGCCCTGGGTGGGGAAACGCGCGCGGACACCCCCGCTGGGGCCTTCGGTGGGGCTCTCTATGGGGCCGCGAGGCGCTGCCCTGGGTGGGGGAACCGCGTGCGGACGCCCCCGCTGGAGCCTTCGGTGGAGCTCCCTATGGTGCCGCGAAGCGCTGCCCTGCGTGGGGGAACCGCGTGCCGACGCCTCACGGGGGCCTTCGGTGGAGCTCCCTATGGGGCTGCGAAGCGCTGCCCTGGGTGGGGGTGGAGGGGGGGGGGGGGGGGGGGCGCGTGTGGACACCCCCACTGGGGCCTTCGGTGGAATTCCCTATGGGGCCGCGAAGCGCTGCCCTGGGTGGGGGAACCGCATGCGGACACCCCCGCTGGGGCCTTCGCGCTGGAGGGGGGTGGGGAGGGGGGGGGCGGGAAGGAAGGACCCACACCAGCACCTTGAGGACCCTATGAGGTACTAAGGGATCATCACCTTCGGGGGGCCTTATGACAAAACGTGCAAAGACCGCGACCCCGTTCGAAAACTTGTCAGTCTCCGGTCTGATGAAGGACGGGGCGAGGAGACAGTGCCAGCCAAGGCCATGCGAAAAAACAGCCGCCTGGCCTGCAAGCGAATCGGAAACGCCGGTCTCCTGTGCGCACATTATCACCGCTGCCGATTCTTTGAGACGTCGTCGTGCAGTCAGCCAGCACGAACCGTTGAATGTCTAAATGTGATAAAGATCGGAATCTACCTGCACACTGGGCCCGCCCTTCAGCGGTGGCACTGGGAGACCGGGCGGTGCCAGCGGAAATCCAGAAACGAGTGGTACTGGGTGGGTCGACAATCCCGTCACCCCAAACGTTGCTTTTTGGATCGAATGCCCATGGACTTGAGAAGGTCGGCGCCATCTTTGGTATGATCGCCGTCTTCCTTCCTGGCAGCAGCCAGCAACTGGGACACCTTTTCCTCTCCGAGCTCCTCCATATTGGCATTGTCATCTCCGGCACGGACCCATGGGCGCCCCCAGGAGCGACGGGGGCTGGAGCCTGGCCTGGAGCCTGGACAGGAGCTGGAGGTGGAGGTTGGGAGCCACGCGCCTGCTGCTTCTGCTGCAGCTGGGCCTTCGCGAGCCCCTTGTACTTCTGGAAAAGAAGGGCTCTCCACCATGGCCTTGACCTCGGCGGCGTCGCCCTTGTCCAGCTGCTCCCTGGACCAGTCGACGAGCTCCTCTCCAACAGGTGCCTCAGGTGCAACTGCGCGCAAAGTGGACTGCAGCTCGATCTGCAACGCCTCGATCCCGACCCTCTTGGCAATCCGCCTGTCCTGCATATCCTTGAGAGCCCGCTGAGCATCTGCCACGACCTGGAGCTGCTCCACGATGTCAGCCTGGCCCTCCTCGTGCTGCTGCTGGCCCCTCGCCAACTTGTGTCCGATCGCAGTGTGACGAGAGAGCATCGGTTTCTTCTCCTGGATGGCCTTCCGCGCAGCCTCGAGCTCCGCCCGGATGCCGTCACGTATGGCGGCGGAGACCCCGTCACCGCACTTCTTGACCGCCTGCAAGGACTCCTCCAAGTGCTGCGCGCACTCTCGGAGCTTCTTGCAGTCATCCTCATCATCATCAACATCACCATCATCAAATGTACCTTTAGCTGGGTGCCCGTAGCCGCCGCCGGTGGTATACTTCAGGCCGCCGCCGGATGGTGAGGAGCTGGACTCGTCGAGCAATTGTTTGCACTGCTCCAGCATGTGCTTCTCGAAAGACGCAAACTGAGCAGCGACATCATTAGACTTCGGTGTTCCATTGGCCCAAGCGCCACGAGGCCCACGAGGAGCACCACCGTTACCACCGCCTGCAGTAGCAGCTTCAGCAGCACGCCGAGCCTTGTTGACGATCGAGTTTGGTGCCATGTTTCCACACAGGCACTTGATGCGGGACGCATCGGTCTGATTGCGCCCGCAGCTGGGGCATCCCCGCTTCGGCTCTCGAGGCCCAGGTAGGACATCAGGTTCGCCCGCACGCTGTGCCATGCGCCTCCGAGAGGAGGACTGATCACGAAAGGAGGTAGTGCTCCTGAAGGAGCTCACGAAAAGCGCGAGGGTTGAGACCCCCCCAACTTGAGCCAAAATGGCTACGGAAAGAGGAGAGGGAGGATGAGGAGGAGGAGGAGGAGGAGGAGGAGGAGGAGGAAAAGGAGGGGGAGAAGGAGGAGGAGGAGGAGGAGGAGGACGAGGAGGAGAAGTAGGAGGAGGAGGAGGAGAGTCGAATTTGATTGGAGAGGAAACGCGCGAGGACAGAAGACCCTTCCGCGAACCACACTGCCTCAGAAGGCACGAAGCACGGGACGCGAACACACACGACACTGCGGTGCCCTTGATCTGGCAGGGTCGACCTACTACAGTCGGGCCGCTGAAAGAAGGAACGCTACATAAGAGACGAAGCCCCTTCTTGGCCCTGTAAGCGCCTCCGTGCCCCAGGAGGGCAAGAGGAACAGCACTGGAGGAACCTAAGGAACATGGAGCCCCTTCCGAACCCAAACTGTTCCTTATTTCAGCGTCTTGACTCTACTCCAGTAATCAATATTGCTTGCACCCCTCCGCGCACCCAAAGAAGCATCCCAGAGGGAATACTGCTGTCCCCTGTCGGTGAAACTCTCAGGGAGGATCCGAGGGCACGTTGCAGTTTGGCCCAACGAATCGAAGAATATATGCCAGGGGCGCAACACGCAGAGACGCTAAACCAAGAAGCCCATGGACCGGGCATCACCAACGCGCGTCTCAAATGTTCACGCCATCCTCCACATGCGAGGCTGATTTGGCTGAGACCTATCCTCAACACGAGCGAGCCGCCCAGAGTGCACGATAACACGTGGTCGTGCCGCGTTGCAAAATTTGCTCCAAGAAATAAGCAGCAACTCCGTCTGCACGATAGACATGGGGCGTCGTTGCGTGGGGTTCCTCCTCATCGTCGTCCCATTGCTCCTTCTCCCTCTTCTGCTCGTCGTTGTCGTCCTCCTCTTCAGGATGAAAACGCGGCGAGCAGCAACAGGAGGGAGATAGGAAGTCGAGGCGCCCACGGCTTCGTATCCAGGACCCTTTTACGCGGCCTGCAGTCCATCAAGAATACTACTCCCTCGTCTGCATCCTCTTCTCCTCCCCAGTTCCTCCTTCTCCGCCTCTTCCTCCTCGCTGGGTCCTCCTCCTCCTCCTCCTCCTCCTCCTCCTCCTCCTCCTCCTCCTCTTTACCCCCCGAACCGACCCCCGGACATCCCCTGGAGCGCGCATTTCTGGCCAGGTCCTCGAGGCGATTCCAGCCGCGGTCGCGAGGGCAACCTTCGGAGGCCCCCAGAGCCACACAACAGAGGAGGAGGAGGAGGAGGAGGAGGAGGAGGAGGAGGAGGAGGAGGAGGAGGGAGGAGGAGGAGGGAGGAGGAGGGAGGAGGAGGAGGGCGTGACCCCTCCCGGCCGCTGTCCTCCATGGACAGCGCAGCCCCCCACGGCAGAGGCACTGTGATGTTCGTCACGTTGGCCTCCGGCGGGCGACGGCCCCGCCGCCCGCCCGCGCAGGGCCGCCGGCTCGGGCTCCCTTCCGTCCCGCTCGTGCCCTGCCCTCCCCTCCCTCCGCTCTCCTGTGGTTGGACTCATCCCTCACACGCCTTGACCTATCAGAAAAACCTTAACTTTGGTTTCGCAGCACGTGTGGTCACTTTGGCCAAGCCCAGCTCAGGGGCCTGGGGGAAGCGTGCAAGCTTCCAATTTCTAAGGCCAGGCGCGAGTATCTAGACAGGATAGCTCGTGGCCTGTTCCCTAAGAGCTGAGCTTTCAAGCCTTGTTATCACTACGTGATGGCGGAACTCCTGGAAATCCTCTCCCTCCCCCCGCCTCCGCGTCCTCCCCCCGCTTCCGCGCCTCCCGCCGGGCTCCACCTTCCCTCCTCTCCCCTCCGAGCTCCTTCCTCCCCCTTCTGCCCTTAAATCGGGCCTGCCCTCCTACAGGCCGATTCTGGACGCAAAATAAAACATACGCCAAAAATGCACTAAACATGCTCAAACAATGCCCGACTGAATTCTTCCCTCTCCCTCTCTGTCTCCCCTTCTCCCTTCTCGCCTCCCCCCTCCGTCTCCTCTGCTCTCCCTTTCCCCCCTCGTCCAATAGCCTCCGTGGGCCTGGGATTCTCAAGTGGCGTTCCGGGGGTGTGCGTTCCGCGCTGCCCTTCCCGCCTCCTCCTCCTCCTCCTCCTCCTCGTCCTCCTCCTCGTCCTCCTCCTCCTCCTCCTCCTCCTCGTCGTCCTCCTCCTCCTCCCCCTCGTCCTCCTCCTCGTCCTCCTCCTCCTCCTCCTCCTCGTCGTCCTCCTCCTCCTCCTCCCCCTCCTCCTCCTCCTCGTCGTCCTCCTCGTCGTCGTCCTCCTCCTCCTCCTCCTCCTCGTCCTCGTCCACCTCCTCCTCCTCCTCCTCGTCCTCCTCCTCCTCTTCCCCTCCGCGGGGTTCGTAATCTCAGGTCTCTTGTGCGCAGAACCCTTCGGGGTTCGGGACAGGCAAGCTTAGAGTCGCCGTGGTCGCCGTCGTCTTCGTGATCAGAATCTGTCGAAGCTTGTGGTCTCGGCTTCTCTGTGCGCTGAACCCTGCGGGGCTCGTGCCAGACAAGCTAAAAGCCATCGCTATCGTCGAGTACCTTTGTTGAAGGGCTCGTGCCAAGCCAGCTTCGAGCGCAGAGCCTTTTGACCAACTGCTGAGCACTGCTGCTACTCATGCTGTGAATTTCAGCGATACCCACTTTGCGCTCGGAGGCGCCCGCGGCTGCCCAATGCTGAGCAATGCTTGCGCTCTGCTCAGTATTCGTAAGTGGTGGTCGCTTGTGGTCACTTGAGATCAGTGCTGCTCAGTGCTGCTGCACAGTGTTTGCTCTGCGCTAGCCCACTCAACTGTTGAGTTTCTATTGATGTGGTATGCGTCTTTATGTTGCTCTCTGCTGATTATGCGGTGCGGGTCAGCGTTGCCCACGGGTGCTCACTGCTGCACAGTAGTGCTCAATGTTATCATTGTTGCGCGTTGTCTGTCCACTCTTTGTCCACCAATTGCCCACGAACTGATCACAACTGACCGCCTCTCGCCCGCCAGCTGCCGATCGTGCCTCGGCATTGATGCCCAATGCCGCGCACTGGAACTTAATGACTGCTCCCTGATGGCCAGGGATGCCCGGTGGCGATGCTTAGCGTTCAGTGGTGTTCCCAGGGGCTGCACTGCCCTCTGCTGCTAAATGCACTCCAACATCGGGCCACTGCTCTGCTACTGCAGGGTCAAACAATGGCTTATTGCTGTTGGCCGTTGCCTACTGGCCGGTCAATTCTGCTCACTGCGGCACTCTGCTTTGTCATTTCGCGCTGGCTGATCGCATGCCACAAGCTTACCGCTATGCACTTGTGGTCATTGCCGCCGAGCGGTGCGCGCGGCTGGTCCCTGCTGCATGCTGCTTTTTGCTGAGCAGCCCCCCTGCAATAAAAACACGTCCACCGTCCCCTTCTGGATGGTCAGCGTGTGTGCCCTCCCCCGCGATATGCGCGTGCCCCAGCAGCACCGTCTTGTCCATGGTGGCGATCAAAACACACACACACCAAACAACCACGCGGATGACACAAACCGGATAACATGATGTCCCGATGCCAAACACGAGCAGCCAATGCCAGGGACGACCATCCAAGGCCAAACAATTCCTAGCACGATCACCAAAAACCACGCAATGCCAAGCACGAGCAACCAATGCCAACCAATGCCAGGCACGACCACTCAATGCCAAGCACGACCATCCAATGCCAAGCGCGACCATCCAATGCCAAGCACGACCGCTCCTTGCCAAGCAATGATAAGCAAAACGAAACAATACACAGCAATGCCACGCACGACACGACTGGCTACAGCCAAGCACGACAAACCAACGCCAAGCAATGCAACCGCGACCGCTCATTGCCAAGCAATGTCAAGCACGACCAGCCTATGCCAAGCACCAGCATACAATGCCAATCACGACCAAACACCGCCAGGCAATGACAAGCAGGACCACTGACTGCCAAGCAATGTCAAACAATGCCAATCAATATCAAGCAGTGCCATGCACGATCATTCAATGCTAAACACGACCGACCAATGCCAATCACAACCAGCCAACGTCGAGCAATGCCAAGCACGACCGCTCGATGCCGCACAGGGCCAAGCAATGCCAAACAATGCCTAGCACGACCATTCAATGCCAGAAGCGACCAAGCGATGCCAAATGCCAAGAAACGCCAAACACGACCACGCAGTGCCGAATAATGCATCCACCAATGTCTGCGAGGTCCCGATGAGAGGCTGTGAGAAACCTCCCGTAAGTTTGAAACCTCCATTCGGCAGTGGACGAACCTCCCTTTCATAGACCTCCCTTTAGTGAAAACGGCCTGGGACCGAAACCGACTGACCTGGACCCGTAAAAATGACGGCCGCGACGCCCTCTCGCGAACCGAAAACGGCCAATTCGCTAATCGACGTGTCAGGGTAGGAGGTCTGTCCACCCCCGATCCATGCGATGCTCTGAGGCTCCTCTCACAGAAGGGGATATCCCAAAACAGCTCTTGCGCCTCTCCCAGACGCTCGAGGGCTTGCCTCGGGGGCCCCGGCACGTGCCGAGGATGCGCAGAAGCAGCCCCAGAAGCTGCGAGGCTGCTTAGGCCCTAGCAGCAGCAAGGAAGGGAAGGTGGTAGCGGGTATTTGTAGGGGAGCAAACAATTACGTAAACATAAAAAAGGGAGGGAAGGAGGAGGAGAAGGGAAGGGAAGGGCAGGAGGGCCAGATGGGTGAGGGTATTTGCAGGGGAGCAAACAATTACGCAAACATAAAAAACTCGGAGGCCCGTGCAGATTCCTCGGACCAACGCTGGGGCCCCCTGGCAGCGCCTCGGGCGCCGCCACTGGCGCGCTCCGCGCACCAAGAAGGGGTGCCCAACGCCGATCCAAGAAATCCGCGCGGACCTCTGAGCTTTTGTGTGAATGCCGATGCTTGTTCGGGGATGGACAGAAACGCGCTTTAGTAAACCGTGGTTTGGTGAAAACGACCTCGGGCCCGAACCTGGCAGGAGCAAATCTGGAAACTAACGGCCGCGGCGCCCTCTCGAGAACCGAAAACGGACAAATCACTAATCGACGTGTCATGGTATGAGGTCTGTCCACCCCCGAGTAAGAAAGGGGGGGGGGTTCACACTGGGGGGGGGTCTGGTTTGAGTTGTCTTGGAGGGCTCCAGTGGGGTCTGGGCAAGAGGCCGCCCTTGATGGCTGGTCGGGGGGGGTCTAAAACTGCTCGTCCGGGAGCGGTGTGACCCTCTCCCTTTTGTTACAACATCTGGAGTAGCCATACCAAGGGCCTTTTGGCCTGTCGAGTAAGACGGCGACGGAAGCGCTCCGGCCATCTGGGCGCAGGTGGCTTCGGGCGTTTCTTCCTCGAGCCTCCTTGTTCCCCTTCGGGGAAGAGTTCATGACTGCTCCTCATTACTTAGGAATGGCTAGACCCTTCCCAAATTTGAGTGTCCGCGGACCAGCTGCAATTACCCCTCCGGTCCCTCTCCAACGCAACACCACATGCACGCATCGGCAACATTATCGACCATGAGCGGGTATCCCGCCATTACTTTGCAAGGGCTTTTGACAAGGATGTCAGATTGGGGGCGTTGTCGCTGTGCTTTCGCCGACTGTCCGTATCAAAAGAAATTGATTACGGGTGCACACACCATATACCGTTCCGACCTCTCCGCGGCCACTGAGCGGATTATCCTGAAGTCCCTTTGAGTCCTCTTCATAGAAGGATGAATGATACTCTCCAATGGCCTCAGGGCTTCTGGCGTGTTCGCGTGACACTTCTGGGGGAAAATGCTCCCAACAACTGGCCAAGAAGGCCTCAAGGAGCCACCAAGACGATCCAAGGGGACCCCGAGGGCCCCTCAAGACGCCCAAGACGGCCTCACGACGGCCCAAGAGACCACCAATAGACAAACGCGTTCCACTAGTCGCAAAGTAACTACTCACAGATGGCCTGGATCCGCCGCGGGGGATCTACGATCCAACACATCGATGCAAACACGGGTTGTTGTTCATGCGTTTTTGCGAGTGGGCAGTAAGCACTGCGCTAATAATGGAACGCGCTCGGTAACCCAAGACGCCCCAAGAGAGATCCAAGGGAATTCCCAAAGGGCCCCATGATACCATCATTGATGCCCCTCAAGTTTTTGAGAGAGTTTCGCATTCTCGACTTTTCGGGCTCCCGACGCTCCAAGATGGCTCTGGAGGCCCCGAACTCGGGGATCTTCTGACCCGGGTCAATCCAGACCAAAAAACTGCAATGCAGGGAAACAAAAACTGCAACGCAGGTCTTCGCAAACCCGGGTCAGCCAATATGCGCGGCCGCCTCGCGGCCACGAGCGGCTCGCTAACCCGGGTCAGCTAGAGGGGGTCTTCGCAGGATCCTGCAGGATCCGGTGCCCTGGCTGACCCCCGTTTGCAACGACCCCC